ATACTATTAAAATAGTACGCAGCATACTATTAAAATAGTATGCTGCGCAATATTACAAGTATTAGTAGTATACTATGAAAATAGTATACTATTAAAATAGTACGCAGCATACTATTAAAATAGTATGCTGCGCAATATTACAAGTATTAGTAGTATACTATGAAAATAGTATACTACTACTTGTAATGCAATATCGAATATAATTGATTCTTAGAGGTTTCTTGGTTGAGATCATAAAGCCGTCTAAACACTCCCGTATCAAACCCGCAGGTGTTGCCGAGACACCATCTACCACCACTTCAGTAGTGTAAACGAGTCCAGGACCTGTTTTGTTTCTTAGGTCAAGAGAACTTTTGAAAACCAATTTTAGACAAAGATTGTTCCAATTCGACAATTATCACTGTTCATGTGTTTGCAATACAATTAGGTTGATTTTGCAAATGGGAGTGATTACGCATTGTTACGCCGAAAAGAAACATATTGATGTTATATACATACTAGTATTGTGAATTGAACACCCAAAATTAATTTATAAACAGGAGGGTGAGGGAAATGGTCATATTAGAATGAACTTATCCATTAAAATTACCGAACAGTTTTGAGCGATGTCTCTGCTCCATGCCCTCCAGGTTGTCGCGTCTCGCGGAAAGGCCAATCAAAAGTCCTCAACCCTAGTGTGTATATTTGGTATGATCGATCGATCTGCGTGGTATGCTGCCAATTCTACCTGACGGGTTCTGTTTTCGTCATTTCCCCTTTGTTTAGATGAAGTAATGGTAACGTTAACTTAATAGTATTAAGTCCAAACGAATTGTGTGCACTTCCGTAGTTAGTTGCATAACGAGTTTTACATCTATTGATACGATATGCGTGCATAGAAGTTAATGGCAAGATCGGCAACCTCGTTGTGTTTTCAAGCGAGGGTCCGACTTTCCTCAAGATTACTAGGAATCAGAGTTTTTGTGTATCCAAAATTCTTCTACTTGTGGGCGCCCCCAACTAATGCAAGACACCGATTCTATCCATGCTACAGTACTTGAGGTTGAACTTTTAACTTTCAGAGTTTGATTGATCGTGGCATCGTGTCACAACCTACTAAAGTAAGCAAACACGCGCTACGCTTACGTCAGTACGACAATAATAATGCTACAGACAACGTTAGTGTAGGCTTCGTTCCCCTCTTTGCGTCAAACTCATTATGACACTTTTTGCACGACGAGGGCTTAACATTCTTGATTGCAACTACTTGCTGCTTCCTAATCGAAGTCATCCACACTGTCAAGGCATCTATACTACCGATAGTTAACTAGAAAGCTTAAATGAACCTCCCGTCAATTCGTCGACAGTCACCTACTACTATGTAGTACTGGTATCGGGTTAAGCTTACTTTGACATTCAGAACCATGGTAGCCCACCACGTTGAACCACGAAATCCGAAAGTCAGCGCGTAGCAGGGGATTCGCGTATTTCTCCAACACCTTTTGACACTTTTCGGCTGTGCAAATCTGCCTTAACGTTATTTCTTGACTGTGAATATATGTTACATGCATATATATATATATGGGTATGTCCAGCAAACGTAAAAGTCCAATTTAAGGTGCTCGGTCCGTTTTAAGGTGCTCGGTCCGTTTTAAGGTGCACGGATGTCAGCCAAGCAAATCAATCCTCGAAAGGCAGTTTTTAACCTAACCGCCCAAATAATATGCAAATATATATACAAATATTAAGCTTAAAATGGTGCACCTTAACATGTAAATTGGACCGCTTGGTTTGAGTTGTTTGTGGACAAAATGGTGTGAATGATAATCAATTAACGCAGTAAACGAATCGAATTCATAACCCCCCCGCATAGGTCTGGATTTTGTCGCATGTAACATTTTATAGTATAGAATTACAATCTGATACCTAACAGTCGAGTTACATGCCCTACCCAACAGCGTCTCGAAAAGTGTTCTTACTGTCAAATTGGACCCTTTGCCCTACTTCGAGATTAGTCCTTGGATAACCGCAGATTGCTCGAGAAAATCGTATACACTACAGAGTGGACTTCAATTTGGTCCCGGTATGTCTCAGAGCAAGTAGGACAATATCTATCTCCACCTTTAACCCCTATCGCCAAGGAAGTACTTCGTACTGACAACAAGATAACAACACATGCAAGTTCGTCACCTAAGTTCATTCAAAACTTCTACCCCCACGGAAAATGAGGTAATGTAACGTTAATGGCTTGGGCGACGACGAAGTAACCACGTTGTCGTAACGAGCAAAACACCCTTGTGACTTGTCCACGGGGCCACGGGGTATTCTGCATCAAAATATTTTTCGCAGTTTGATCCAATTGGTTTTCGCCCAACATCGACGTTGCACAATTGTCTGTGACGGATTGCATAGCGTCGATATGGCAACCTTCTTACATTATGTTCTACCACCGAAGGTAAAGTATTGATGCATAATTCAATTGCGAAACAGTAATAGGTCCTTCGATTTGGAAGGACCAATCGCTAGCGGCAACTAAGCCTGGGTAGTACAGTCTCCTCGGTAGTACAGTAGTTTGTTGTTTTCACAGGCAGAGCCCTCCTCCAGTCAGTCGAATTAGCATGGGATGCTGCTGCACGAGGTGGACAACTTAAACGCCTTGTCGCATGAAGAGCGCTGGGAAAAGCGCAACTTCACCCTCATTGTCGATCCAGGACTGGGTTGCAGTAGCTTGCGTTGATAGCCAGTGGAAAGTGTCAACCTGCCAACCCAGAACGACAACGAAGGTGCTGGAGCCTCATGAGTCTACCAATTCGTTTTCGGCATGTGTATCCACTACTGAATGTATCTTGACGTGGCAATAACGATGCCAGAACCGTATCTATTAAAAAACATGACGATACACAGGACGAACGCACGATAGCCTCAAACTTGTTGGCTTCACTACGGATGGACTTCAGCGTGGAAGAACGAACACTCGTTTTGACCGCTGACAAACCTTCACAGCCATTTACAGCAGCTTTACCCCTCCCACGACGTGCTTCACAGATAACTTGGACGGTAATAGCGTTACACTACCATTGTAGTGCATCTCTGTTAACCTTGCTAAAAAGATACTTTGAGGTACTTCTCGTGCATGTCTCGTTACGTCGGGTCTCACGTAGGACAATCCAAGTACTACCAAGTCCTCATGCACTTTACTATTTGCCATGAACTGCACGATCACCAGTCCGTGGACCCCAGCCGAGGTAGGGTAGAGTAGTTGAATACAGTGTCTGTCGATGACCGCTACTGCCCCTATTGCACTTGCATGTTCGCCCCTGCATGGCATGGATGATATCCTTCCATCTGACCTCCCATCCCCCTCACCATCAGCCTGTCTGTCTGTATGTCTAGGACCAAACCCTCCGCGACGGAGTGTTCCTTCACGGTGGCAAACAGTGGCGTGGCATTGCTCAATTGTTTCATCATCGCAAGAGCGTCCGTGACTGCCAGCGCAGGTGGTATGCGCTCACCCAGGAGGCCACCGTCAAGTTACCGTGGACAGAGGCCGAAGACGAAGCGGTGCTGGCACTGGTGCACAAGCTGGGCCCCCACAAGTGGGGCGTGATAGCGTCGTACCTTCCTGGGCGAAGTGGCAAGCAATGCCGCGAGCGGTGCGTCCAGCCCCATCTCGTCTCCTCTGGACGAGTACTTTGTTTAGTAGATATGCTAAGACGTATACATGTATAGATGGTGTAACCAACTCGATCCATCGATTGACAAGTCCCCGTGGACACTGCAAGAAGATCACATCTTGGCGACCCTCCAGGCTAAGCATGGGAATCGCTGGTCGCTCATTGCCGAACATTTGCCAGGTCGCACAGACAACGCCGTCAAGAATCACTGGCATGCCAGCGTCAAGGTACCAAAGGTTCATCCACCCTGTCTGTAACGTTATCCTTAGAATTGTCTTTTGTAGAAGTGGAAAGATCGCAAGGGCAGCAGCCTCGTTACTACTATTACAGCTCAACCCATTCTTGCCCCGTCGATTTCACATCCTCCAGACTGCAGCGACAATCGGACGACGTCGTCGGCGTCCCCCACGGCCGTAGACGACCCCACGTTTCTGCATAAACTGACCCTCCTTCCCAACCAGCCCGACTCGATCTCGCTCGACGTGCTGTGGACCACAAACGTCGATGACGAGGGCAAGGCCAGCGTAGATAATTTCCCCGAAATGGGCACGCCGGAGATTGCAATAGCCGACGACGAGTGGTTCCAAGACCTGGACTGGCACTGCTTTGACGACGAAACGTTCCTCGACACGGAGTTGTACCTTGTATAACAAGTAGTATTTAGATAGCTTACAGACTTAATCATATTATTTACGCGATTCAATCAACAACTCGTCGTCCGGGATGTATAAATCCAGGTCGTCGTCGGTGACGTGAAGTCGCTCGAGTAGCACCCGCAACTCGTCCAAACCCATCGCTTTGTTGGACTCGCGGTGCTGTCCGTCGTGGCTTTGCTTGATGTGCAGACACTGCTGGCACAATTGCGGGTCGATTTCATCTCGTTGGAACCCGGGGCACACGCCGGCAATCGGGCACTGATTACACAGGGGATGGTGCGAATTCAAGTACTCGATGCACCGCGACCGCTGCAGCCGCTCGATGAGGGCTTCCCGAAGCTCCTCCTTGCGCTCTTCAGCCTCGTATTGCTTGGCGATAGCCGCGACCCGTGCGGCCTCTTCGACCCGCGCCGCTTCCACTTGGTCTTCGCTCGGTCCAATGTACGGTTTCGTGGCTACCACCGTGTACTCGCGCCCTACCGCAACTATGCAAACATCACAATTTTAAAGTCAAGTAGTGAGTGATTGCAAAGAAGACGGATTATATATATATATATATATAAGAGCGATTATATATATATATATAATCCGCCTTCTCTCTCTATATATAGTATATATCTAGGTTGCCTTTACACACCAGAGCAAGGCCGGCCGACAAACTCGGCCATGCCTTCCACCTTGCCCGGGACAGCGCTAAAGCTCTCAGGATTCGACGCCATTTCAGTAGGCCGACCCAAACACCCGTTCACATTGCTGCCCCACGTGTACACCTACAATATATGTACATATTATATATAATTATATATATATACGTACATATAATTTTATATTCATATAATATATACAGATAGATAAATATAAAATTCAAGAATGTAGGGAGGGTTCAAAACATATATAGTTTCAACATCACTTTACACAGTATACGAGGTCAATGTTACCTCGTCGTCCACAGACAGTGCCACGTTATGATACATGCCGGCGCACACTCTTTTGATGTATACACATTGCATGAGAAAGTCCTGGATCAGCGTCGGCGTAGGCACCACTTGGTTGCCTCCCAACGCCAGCTAGATACATAGGCACCGTATGCGTTAGTACATGACGACAAGAATTTCTCCATTTCTCCATATTTATCCAATCCATTTTAGTAACTGTCAATTTATCAAAGAATAACCAACTATCCAACGTAGTATCCGTTTATCATAAAACATATCCGTCAATAATATCGTTGAGTTGGTTGTTTTTCCTTCGTACTTGGCCATACCGCCCCGTGCCCCACGCGTACACCTACGTCACTTGTTTGATGGATATATACCATATTGTACTATCAAATCACTACCAGGACTAGTTTGAAATATATAAATTAGTTTGAGAAATATACCACACACCTATATATTGTACTACTTACAAATCCGCCTTTGAGCAAGGGCGGCACCAACACGATGGCCACCGTATGCCAGCACCCGCAGCTAATTTGGAACACCACGTCCGACGCCAGCGCTTCCACGAGGCGGGGGGCCACATGCGATGCCAAATCTCCATGTCCAAGGCGGCTACTCGAGTCACCACCCCCATCAGGAACAAAAAAGTAGTGAATTTTGACGGTCGAGGGTGTACTAGTATTTAATACAAAAAGATAATGTAAAATGGAAACGAACAACCAATCGATTCAACGTAGTATTCTCAACTGCAAAACAGAACCATTCATATTGAGAAACATAAGTATACGGCCGAGTCTGGCTGCCACAATAATATGTCAGAAAACACCACTTTTTGCAACTTTTCAGAAATATTAGGACAAGTTTTCAAACGACAACATTTGTGAGATTGTATTGTTGGCTACAACATGGATAGAATAAGTCGATATATCACTGTTCTCTGACAGACAAAAGTGCTGTCCAATTTTGACTACATGATATTCCACCAACAGTCATCATACCATCCAGAGAGGTCACATCAAAATACTGTGCAAATACTATTATTTTCAAAATCCTTGGCAAATACTATTATTTTCCCAGTATTTTGAAAATAATAGCACCTCCTCCGACTCTGAAAAGGACCAGAATATTATCGGACATCATAAATGTTTACTCGGCGAAATAAAAATATATAAATAGTTTCAATTCATGGCACTTTAGTACCTACCCTCCATCGCCGCTGCCCCACGTGTACATTTGACCGTTTTCGTTGACCATCGCAGCATGCATCGCTCCGCACGACACCTATTAAACGAGCAGCATGGGTGTATGTACGGTACACTATACGGTACACTATACGGTAACGTGCAACATGCAATGTCGAGTAATATTACTTGGTGCACGCGGTGCTTTCGAAGGTGCCGGGACAGCGTCGAGTGGTCGGTGGTGTTGTACACCGACCCAAACGCGTAAATATCTCCGACGTCCGACAGGATCATGGTGTGGTCCGTACCGACTGCCACTCCCCGGACCACGCATGTCTCGGGCACGGTGCGGCTCCAGATCGTCGGCTCCACCGCGTCCGCGCCATATTTGATCTTGGCGCGCTACCAACGTCCATCCTCTTCATCGTTCGTCGTCAAAATGTACAACAGTACCTTGGACTGGGCAGCCGACAGACTGTGCTGTGGCTCGTTGCCGAGCTGGCAGTGGTCGTTCTGGCCCCACGTAAACACGTCGCCGCACTTGGATCTCGCCGCGCAGTGCACGCGGCCGACGGCGATTTGGACGATGTCTTCGCCGCTGATGGATTTGAGTTTGACGGGGGCAGGAACCAGCATCGATTCGTCCTCTACCATGTTCTCGCCTTCACCAACCTTGTCGTCATGCAAAGCATCGGCGTCATCGCTACTTCCATCGTCCGAGCTCTCGTCGCTCGAGTTGTCTGGCGGATCCACGGGATCAACGACGTCCGCGGGGACATGTTCTTCTGGTCCGTCGAGTGTCGGGAGGTTGGGCAGGTGGAGGGCGCCCTTGGGGGGGGGGCTGCTGCCGCCGCCGCCGCCGACGACGTCGAACCGATTCCGGCGTTTGGGACGGGGAAGTCCCGTGGGGCCGTGCTTGGTGCCCCAAACGTACACGTCCCCCAGTCGGGTCACGGCAAACGTCACGTCCGAGTCGAAGCCCTAGGACAAACAATTAGTGTGAGTCCTGGGTACAACAAACACCCTCTTGACGAACACAACGGGGCTAAAGTACCCATAGCTAGGCCACGTAGGTACGTAATCGAGTATGGATGGGTATGATGGATGGACGGGGAGATGACGAAACGTCGGAAGGGTAGCGAGGACAAAGAGGTTATTTGGAGGCAAGTAGGGGCCCATCACAGAAAATTGCACACAACGGGACTCAGCATCAGGGTATATACATGTCGCACGAGACTCAGAATCAGACTCAGGTGTACATGTCACGCGGGAAGAATCAGAATCAGCCTTGGAATCGACGGTGGCGACGTACTGCATACACTTGACACACCCCCAGGCCGCGCGTGGATTTGATCTGCGTGGGCAGTGCATACGACTGGCAGTCGTTGTGTCCTACATCCAGCACAGAGATCCATGAAACAATGGTATGGTATAGCAGCGATGGACGTACCGAGTTGGCCTTGCGTGCCGGTGCCAAAAGTCCAGATACCACCCAACTTGTCCTTTCTTCGCTCTTCCGCCACCTCTGCTTCGTGCCTCGACGCGGCCTCTAATGAACTGCATGAGGGAAACGGTGGATACGAGAGCAAGATGGACGCAACCGTCGTCGCGCTGTTTCTCCAGAGACTCGGTCAAGCGCTGCACCTAGTGGGCGTGAGGTAGGAAGTCGCGACATGGAAACAGAGGGGTAGTTATGTTCTACCAGAATTCGCTTCTTCCCTCTTGGCTCCAGTTCCCGAGCGAGACACGACGCTCGAAGCATCTTCACTTTCATCAGCGTTAAGCAGCGCAGGTCCAACTACAGTGTAATCCACGCATCACGAGGACAAGGACATTTGAACAAATGACACGTCGAACGGAACCCACCCGACTCCATTGCTCGGTGGTTAGCAAGTTGAAGCTCTCTGGAATGGACAGGAACAGCATCTTGCGCCAATTCACCGCATCCTTTCCCGTGGGAACTCGAATGTCGACCTTCTTCCGTCTGAAGAACCCCATGAACCTTCGGTGCGCGTTCACGTTACAAAGTTGAAACGTCGTGGGTCTTGAAATAGTGTTAGTGTTGTAAACTTTAAATAGTATGACTTGATAATGCACCGCTGTAAGTTTGTCGCATGTTACAGTACTTCAATTAAACGTACTACTACGTAGTATAATAGTAGTAGTATTTTAATACTATTAGGGCCCGTCTGGATGAACATTTGAAAAAATATCAATAATCCGAATAGTACGGTCCTGCATTTTCACAGAATGCAGCAAACGAAATATCTCGATTATACAGTAAAACCGGATTCTTGAGCAAGACAAGAAAAATAGAAACCGTCGTATTATCCGGATTGATAGATCAAAGTTTCGCGCGCAATCACGACTGCCATGGAGGACACGCGCGCATCCTGGACCGAGGAGAAGGACTCCACATGGATGGTGGAGATGATCTACCAATCCAAAGTACTCGGCAAGAGCTCCCATAGTGGATTCAAGAGAGAAGCCTGGTTGGCTGCGCTTGTCAAGCTCAACCGTGAACACAAGGTCAACTACTCCATGCAGCAGCTCAAGGCTCGCCACGCAGAAATGAAGAAACAGTACGCTCAAGCAGTCCAGATCATCAAGACATCTGGAGTCAGCTTCGAGACCACCACGTCGCGCTTCATCTGCCTTGAGGGATCGTGGTCCCACTTTCTCCTAGGCAAACCATCGAAATGGGCCCTTTGGCAGACGAAACGGTTCCCCCAATTCAAGCATTGCCAAGAGCTCTACGACGGAACACTTGCGACTGGCGAATTTGCCTTATCAACTATCGAACCGCCCACTCAACCCTCTGTTCAAGACAGCGATCAAACGGAGCCGTGGAACGAGGGATTTGATTTGAATGGAGACGACGACGATTTACCGCAAGGCTTGCCCTTTGCTTTGAACTATCAAGACATCAACGACAACGAGAATCAGCTGAGCGAAGATGAGCAGCCCAAGAAAAAGAAGAGACGAAGCTCAGCTGGGGACATGCCGGTGAAGAAAGGAAGCAAATCTGTCGGCGCTGCCATGATCTCGGAACTGAAGGAACTGCGCCAGTCAGGCAAGGCGGATGTGGCCTTGCTGATTGAAGGTCTCACCGGCGGCAAGACGAAAGAAAGATGCCCGGTTGAAGTCGCCACAGATGCTTTGCAAGACGACTTCGACGACATTTTGGATGGGGAAGAGATGTCCTTCGCATATGAAGTCATCGAGGATCCAGCAAAGGCCACTCAATTCGTCCGTATGCGGGGTGAGTCCCGAGAAATCTGGTTGCGACGTCACATTCGCATCAAGATGAGCAAGCACGCCATTCATGAATAATCAAATGGTATTTGGTGCATTATCTAATTTATTTGTCTCTGTCGACGGCGGTTGCGCAGTGTTGTTTGGTACTGGCTCCAAATCGCTGAAGC